CCGCGGGGGCCGGGCCCCTTTCCCTGGGGGGGGGGGGGTTGGTGTGTGTGCGAGAGAGAGGGAGGGAGGGAGGGAGGAAGAGCACAACTGGAAGAGAACCCCAAGATGGGGGGAGGGGAGAGATTTTTTGAAAAAGGAGATTTAAACTCCACGATTGACTTCATGAATGCTGCTATGTTTGCTGAGAGTTGAGCTTTACTTAACCGTCAAGGCATCTTTACAAGTTTCCCGGCCTTATTTCTCCCCGCCCCGCCCCTTCCCTTTCTTTCTTTTCTTCTCCAACGCCCCTCCTTCTTTCTCTTGTTCCAGGTGTCCCACCATTACCGGAAGATTATCTGATTATCCGGCAGTGTAGATCACCGGGGGAGGTGGGGAGGTGGGTCTATGTTAACGTTGACAAACAAAAAAAAGACATTAAAATAAAACCACGCCACGTAAAGGTTTCGGGGGAGGGGAAAGTGTATTTAAAAAGCCTTGATTTTAAAAAAAGAGAGAGAAGAGGAAAAAAATGTAATTTAAGAAAGTTTATTATAAAGTGAATTCAGCAAAAAAAAAATTATAAAAGATTTGCTACGAAGTATAGAAAAAAGTATAAAATAAAAAATTATTGTTTGAAAAGAGGATGTAGTTTTATTTTATTTTCTCAATGGGGGTGTATTGCGCAGCGGGCCCGAGCGAGGTTTTCAACGAGTCCAGCCGCCACTTGTGAGCGAGAGGGGGCTGAGAGGCAGGCAGAGCGGGTAGGAAGGGGGCAGGACAGGCTTTCGGCGGGGAGGCCGGATCATGCGAGAGGGGCCGGAGGGCCCAGCCAGCCAGCCAGCAGCAGCGAGCAGGGCTCGGCCTTCTGCGCGGAAGCCGACGTGGGAAGAGGCCGACGGAGGCCTGGCTTGGAGCCTCGGGGTCTGGCTCGCTTTGCTCCTTGGGCTTCATGGAGCTGGGCGGGCAGAGCAGAGCGCGCGTCTTTGCGCGGAAACAAGCACGATCCGAAGTATGTCGACCGCGGTCCCCTCCCTCTCCCAGGGCCGGCTCCAGCTTATTTTGCACCCTAGGCAAGGATCCCTTCTGCCCCCCCGTGCGCCCACCAATTTTCAAAAATAAATGCATTTTAGGAAGAATGAAAAACACAAATAATCAAGAAACTCCCAGAGTACGGGGCCGGGTGCAGTTTGGTGCCCCTAAGGGCCGTCCCGCTCTAGGTGATTGCCTAGTTCGCGT